ACCCTCAGTGTGCTAGGCCTGGGCTGGGGCCTGGCCACGCCCCCTCCAGTCGAGCAGGGAGCGGGGAAAGCCTTGGAGCTTCAGTCCCTTCCCTTTGCCAGTGGTTGGCAGGCTGGGAGGTATGCTAGATCTAGCACCCCTGGCTTCTGGCCTGAGCCACTGCAGCCATGTGGCTGCATTTCCTGAATCAAAAGTGAATGTCTGCTCACTTGCTTCTCAAAATAATCTTTGCAGTTTAGACTAATCTGCAAAGACTGAATCAATTCAGCTTCTGGCTTTTTGACTGTCTGTACTTAGCCCTGGAAATGCAAGCATCCACTGCTATCCCTCCAGGGACAAATACTCAATGAAGTAACCTAACTAAGGTGGAGAGACCATAGCAGCACCCTTTGGCAGCAACTTGGAAGTGATACATAAAAATAACAGCTGCCGCCACAACTGCATGACCATACTGGTAGCACTACCGCTGTCTCCACACATCACCACTGGCCCAGATGCTGAACTGCCCTGTCATGCCTTTGACTCAATATATGCTTGGTCAGTATTCCTCCCCAGCAAAGACCCCAGACTTTAATGCAAGTGGGGAAAAATGGATGTGGTAGGACAGTTATACACAAGTATAGAAAGCCTCTCCATACATGGGTGTAGGAATTAAGATCTGATCTTTAAACTGAAAGACAAAGTACTTAACTTTTAATAAGATATGAATAAATACTGAGTTCCCTAGTTAAATTTTTATTTAATGAATCTCAACGTATCTCATTTGGCTGATACTAATTCTTTTCTTTAACATTTCTGCAAAGACATTTTTCAGCAGTTTTCTTCATTAAAGATGCATAACGAAAGTAAAATGCACTTTGTGCAAAAACAGCATTATTTCTAACAGCTGATTTCCATTTCCCAAAGTGCATGAAGCCATAAGATTTCTGTGGAAGGTATGAAAAAAATACATACTGATCACAAGTTCACGTATTAATGTAATCGCATCCTCCTCCTAAAAAGGATCACGTGTCTCTCAGAAGTTTTACATAGAGTAGTGTAAAAGATACCAGATAAATGTAAACAGCTAATAAGCAGAGACAAATTACTCACTCTGTCTTGTTCATAATAAGAAGATCAGAAAGAATGGATAAGCACATTTGGTATATGAATATATGTTGCTATTAACTCTTACTTTTTTGTTTGTTTTTTTAAATAAAAAGCATGCATGCTGTTTTTGTTGCAGACTTGTTAATTAAAAACACTCCAAGCATCCCACTGTGCAGATAAAGAGCTTTGTGAGAATATTTATGGAATTCTATAGGTATTCTGCAAAACAGGTAGTAATGCGTAAGACATACAGAAGTTTGGCAAATTTGTGCAAGTCAGACACTGTTGGAGCCATTTTCACTAGGAAGAATAAACATACATAGGAAACAGTTTCTGTAAGGCTGAACTGTCGTTAAAAATAAAAACTCACATTGCATTATTAAACAGGCAACAAATAGATGACAAATCATTTGTATCTGCTGGCTGATGCATTTGCAATGAATAATGGACAAACAGAAGTATATCAGTTGAACAGGAACTTGGAATTCTCTTCAAAGAACAAAATTACAATGCAATGATTAAAAGCTTTTAAAAAAAAAGTTACCTCAAATTTAAGTGTCTCCATAAGAAAGCAGAAAGATAAAATAAAATGATGGATGAAAGGTGGAAAACAAGCAGTGATACAAGCCATTTATTTACAAATCTACACAATAGGCAATCAAGCATCCCCCTTAAAGGGCATTCAGTTTTACAAAAGAACCCTACATGACAAAGGAACATTATATGTATAGAATTAAACCCACTACTCAAGACAAAACAATTCAAAACCTATGCTTGTGTCTTATGACAGGTAGGTGATTCCCACACATTTAAAGATAACTGAAGTCAATTCCAAACCTACAATATTCACACACACACAAACTAACTACAGCAAAATAATGCACAGGGTGCAGAGGATAGCACAGCACATGAAATTAAGTACATCTTTCCACTGATTTTAGTAAAGGCTTTTGGATCATTCTTGTGCTTTAAGGGAACTTTTACACATGCTCCAATACGTTCCGATTAGAACACGTCAGAGCAGACTCAATGAATCGTGTCTGCTGGAGCGCTCTAATCAGAATAGTCCAGCATGCTGCAGCGTCTCATGTATTCAGAGTCCCCACATTTCAAAATGGCAGCGAGGGTGCTTTAACTAAAGTTTGTCAAACAAGCTTTAGTTAAAGCACCCCTGCTGCCATTTTGAAATGTGGGGACTCCGAATACATGAGACGCTGCAGACGTTTTAGAGCAGCTCCTGCAAGCTGCTCTAATTAAAATGCCCCCTCACACCCCACCCCGGAGCATATGTACAGACACTCTAGGTTACCACACACACGAGATTCACTAGTCAGAAATCAAACATGGGATGAATACTTGTATCGCTCATCATATCTGTACTAACATGAAACTCGCTCAAGTTTCACTTCATAGTGAATAATGGATACACCAAAGAGCCAATTGTATAGCTAGAATATGGCTTCACAAATCCTGCTCCCCCACCCCATCAATCTTTTCAAGACATTAACAACATTTTTTAAATCTGTTGTTTGAGTTTAAAGAGGTTAAACTACTAATCTTATTCCACATAGTACTCCTTACTATTAATCTTTAGCAATGAAGGCAAAAGAAAAAATCCCAAGCATAAGATGACGTAGCCAACATTTAAGCAAAGCATCAAGTATGGAAAAGATCAATTCTTTCACTTAACTTCATTTCTCAGTAAAGGACAAACATCCATTTACAAACAGATTGGTCTCTCTCAAACTCCTTTGATTCAGGCTGTAAATTGCTTTAAAAAAATTACTGGGGGGGTGGGGGGGAGAAGGGAAGGGAAATTAATCAATCCTAACAGGGTAAGATACATTTTAATTATTTCATGATCTAACAAAAGGCAAAGGCTACATAGTCTAGTCTATTTTTACGCACGCAGCTCAGACCCAGAGCTGATTGAGAACAAGTCTGAGGCCTGGAAAAGCTTGCATTACCAGCCCTATAGACAGACACGATGTGGATGAAAAGATTCAAATTTCCAGCAGTCTCAAATCAAGCACTTTTCACAAGTGTATTAAAAAAACCCAACTAAGAAAAAAAC